TCTGTTTCAAAGCTTCCAGATGAAAAATGAACACATAGTAACTGTTGATTAACAGATGACAAATCATTGATGATGTCACATTTGAGGGATCTGGACATTTCAGAATAAATGAATAAAATGAGAGCGAGAACACAGCATTTATGCACAAGTTCTGGGTTTTTCTGTGGCACAATCACAACTATTTTGAAATAATTTTTATGTGAAAACTTTCTAAATATCCATCAAATACTGTGAAAAGCAGCCTAAACTTTAACACTTTGCCAAACCCATTTTTCCAGCCCATCGTGTTTAAAAGAAGCCCAACTGGGCGCATACCTGCCCAACCTGGCAACATATAATGTTCTCTGTTATAGCGCCACCGATTGGCCCGGCTGACCTACTGTGGTACCGCATTCACCTGTTTTCTGAGTCATTTACAAAAACACATTTGTAGGGTCTGTAAGCTGCAGCACCTTTGTGCTGCAGAGACAGCGCTGTGCTGCAGAGACAGCGCAGTCTCTGCAAAGTGGCTATAAACTTTGGAAAATGTAAAATTAATGAGACATCCTGAGTGAAAACACATGACCTTAATGTGAGCGGCTGCACGCGTTCAGACAGACTGATGGACTCAGACCCACTGAGGGTCATTTAGCTTGTTCTGGAGCCCGATGGCGCCCTCTGTGGTGAATCAGTAAAACTGCACTTTAGTTTAATAAAATCTCTCCATGAAAGATGCATGTTGTTCTCATTCAAGTGTCTTTTCAAGCAATAGATTTGTAGGTTTTATGAACCATATTTTACTCCTGAGTGTAAACACTTTTTACATTTCAAGTTATTTTTTTTTCACTTTGATTTACATTCCGAAAGAAATCCAAGATATTGTTTTAAGTAGAGAAATACATCTTAGAGCAACATTTTTCACAGCTTGCGTTCTCAGCTTTTTAGTTTGAAACTGTTTACCAAACTTGATCTCACGGCCACATCTGCTCAAAAGTAATAAATCTTTGAGGTCTGGACACAAACAGCCAGCGGGACCGAGCCGAGCTGACGAAGAATTAGGTGTTAAAACCTCTTCAGATACATTGTCTTAACTGATGTGTGTGTGATCTGTGTGTGTTAGAGAGCTGAAACACCTTCAGACATGATAACTCACAGCTACATTAGTGACTTAATGACATCCACTCTGTGATAAAAGCTCAGCCGCTCGTCACACGCACATCGTCCTGACGGCCAAGCAGCCATTTACATGCCTGCGGTGGAGCAGAGCTGCACTCAAGGGTTTTAACTGATAACTGAAGAACATTCCTCACACACACACACACACACACACACACACACACACACACACACACACACACACACCACACACACACACACACACACACACACACACACACACACACAAACACACACACACACACACACACCACGAACTTTGAAATAGCTCCTCAGCATCTGTTCAGATGGGACAAAATGAAGATTTCGTCTGCAATAATGTCAACAGGTCAAAACATGTCAGTAAACACCTGCTGGCAGTTGAAGTTGTGCAGATCTTTCTGACAGTTTTCACTCAGGATGCTTCAGTTTCTAATGAAAGACGTTTCTGGAGTGAAACTATTCCTGCGTCATCGCTGGTTTGCTTCGGAGTTTCCCGGCAGCGTGGCGGGTCTGGTCGCCTTTTGGTGTCAGAGCTGAGCAACATGAGGGAACCTGACATTTCTCTGGTTGCCCTGTTGTATTTATTAAATTAATGGAATTACAGGAAACATCTCAGATTTTCATCTTAAGGAGAATCCAATATTTGTTTCCTGTTCTCTTTTATGTTTAAATCTACTTTAGATTTGTGTTCTCTTACTCTTACACTCATATTTTTAACAACTGAGAAAATGTAGAATAAATATTTATTAAAGATATTTAAAAGTAGGGATGCAAACTATTGATTTATGATTAATTAAGTTAATGGTTTATTAGAATAAATAAAGGATCCACTTCTTTCAGTGTTGTAGTTTTGGCGTCATCCAGAAGAGGGCGCTGCTGCTCATCCTTCAGCAGAACCAGTTGGTCGGTTCTAAGGGAAATAATCCCGGCAGACGCATCCCAGAACAGGACAGTTAAATGGTTCCTTGTTTGTTATATTTTATAAATATGTCAGTTAATAATGTGAGAAAACCACAATTTTCTGTTCATTCAGTCAGTATTTAATACAGCTGACACAATAAATGTTAAAATATAGTACATGTACTTCTTTTTCTAAATTAAGGAAATTATGAAAAAATATCCATTGATGTTCGAAGGAAGACAGAAAATCTTGATGCAAGTCAAAACTCAGGATTTGTAAAACATGGCTGCTTTTAATTAATCGTTAGTCAATCAATAACTTTTATGTTATTCTCTGCTTCTCTCCTCAAGTATATTCCTGATACATATTGCAAATGATTTCCTCAAATTAAGCAGAGTGCAGCTCCGACTAATAAACTCATAATCTGCTATTTAATAAAATATTCAGACTGATCCTCTTTCTTTGTCCTGAACTGTTAAATAATGGGACATCAGGCTGTTTGGAAAGAAATGTTAAAAATGTACCCAAGTATTTTCTTTACCTGTTCTGATAATTGATCAGACAAGATATTGATATAATCAGCTGAAGGTTGTGAGAAATGGATCGACTCACCAGCCGCTGATCTCAGTGAACATGAAGCTTTGTGCTGCATCTGTTCAACACAAGCCAAGCTGAACTACAATAATTTATGGAGTTTTAACAACAGCAACAATAAAAAAATCTACTTTTTGTGCTGGGACAGAAAATGACAGCTGGAGCTGCGAGCCTGGCAGCGTCTGCAACATTTTGTAGCTGTTGAACTAAACAATATGAGATCTTTGGTCGTTTGTCTTTCAGATGGAATTTCTCAGCGATGGATTCGATAAACACAGGCGGCCAAAAAACCTGACAGAACAGCATGAAGCTAGAAAGCAGCTGTTAGCTTCAGGAGCGTTACTGTACAGACAGCAGAAAGTTTCTCAGGCCATAAAAAGAGTCACATAAAGACTTTCTGAAGGCCTTGAAATCAAACACAAACTGACTGAAATACTAAAGAGTCATCAGAGTTTTGAAATGACTGCAATATGTGTGAACATGCATTAAGTTTGTTTAAAATGTTCCTCCATACTCCGGCGCTGAGCCTGGACTCACTGAAGTGGTCGAGATCAGAGGGTTTTATCACCGCCAGGAGATTCTTGCTCTTAATCTTCCTCCTCCTTTTTTCTTTATTTGAGTTTTATTCACATCTCCATCTAGTAATACAGACTTCAGCACCAGCAGGGATTCCTGCATCAGGGCAATTTGGCCCCTTTTCCTTTGGTTGCCAGAATATCCACAAGGCCAAACAGTTCATCTTCATTTTACCCGTTTTCCCGCCTCCTGGTCGGCTCAGTTTGCTGAGATTGGGGACCAAATTAGTTACATTTTCAGCTGCGGTTTGCTTTCACACCGCACTGACTCAAACCAACTGAAAAACCTGTTCCCCTTCTCACCTGTGGAGGCGCTGCAGCAAGAACCATTACCACACAAAACCCTCTGAAGACGCTGAGATCGAAGCGCTTTAACTTCCTTCGCCAAATGTACACAGATCAGATTTTAGGATTTCTCTCTTTTTGTCTTTGGTAAAAGACCACAAGTCATTTCTCCTGCTGGTGCTGAACTAACACATTTGTTTTGGTTGTATTACCCAGAAATCCCTGCGTTGTAGTCCACTTCCTGCTTTTGGACCAATCTATTGTCTGCTTGACGTTCACATGCATTGAAACGAACCACAGTTAACTTTAACCAAACAGAGCTGAAGTGGATCAGAGCAGGACCAGAATTAGTTGTTTTGGTTGATTACACATGAACACCAAACGAACCGGACCTCCTGGACTGATGGACTGGACTTGGATTAGAGTGGAGAAAGCCTGGCTGGTGGGACTGCAGCCTTTAAGAGACGAATCTTCACCACACCGACGTCAGACCCTCCCAAAACATTTAGGAACGGATCCTTCTGTAAACTTTACAGCCAATTAAAACGTGGACACAATAAACCTTCAGCCAGCAGGTAACAGGTGTGATGAATTACATCACCTGACTGATAGTCGTAGCTGCACCACCGGGCAGTTTGACTGGGCAGCTCGGTTCATCAGAACTTTCTGTTTCTGAGGTCCACTCCTCATGTTCAGTGATGAATCTGTTGGGTTTTTACCAGATCAGAGATCAAACCGGAGCGTCTGCAGACAGACCGACGGTGACAGACGTCTCAGAGCGACACACTGAGAATAATGAATGAGGCTGTTTCCTTTGATTCCCACAGTCATTTACTGCATTGATTGTTTGCAGGCTGTATGGACAGAACAGAGGCCGGCTATTGGCTCGGGTCATCACCTTATAAACACACTCGACGCCTCCTCAATACAGTCACACTGCATCACCACGGATGGATGGAGGGATGGATTAATAATGAACACACACACCAGCACACACACACAGCGGCTGGGTGAGATCGAAGCGCTTTAACTGCTTATGATCACTGTTAGCTGTGAAATCCTCGTCTTTCTGCTGATGCACGAGTTTCATCATCGTGTTGTTTTCCTCCTAAAGTCGACACCAGTGAGTCGCTTCTGCAGATTAAATTATATTCTCAGTTTAAAGAAGCAACAGACGTTCAGAGAAATACCGGCCAACAGAACAGATAGAAACACATTTATTCATGTTTTCATTCAGAAACTGATCCGTTTTACTCTCTGGTCAAATGTTTCAGAGGAATTTAATGTTTTTGTGTCACTTCTTCAGTAAAACCAGACCTGCTAACCAGTAAGAACTGGTCCCATCTACTGGTCTCAGTACCAGTCTGGTACTCATGGGGCCCAATTTGGACCAACAGTGGGTCAAGGTGGAAAAAACTGTTGTACAATTTAAACTTGTAAAACTGTTTTTAACTGAATAAAACGAATTAAAATGCCAGTTACATTGTTTCCGTGTCTGTGTGTTCTAGATCTATGATGCAGAGGGAACGTTGCAGCACTTCATAGATGGAAACGATCCCAGTAAATCCAGTTGGATGAGGTACATCCGCTGCGCGAGGCACTGTGGGGAGCAGAACATGATGGTGGTCCAGTACAGGTAAGAACTTCTGACGTTCTCTGATGCAAAGTTGGTATTTTTCTTAAAAGTAACTTGTTTTGTTATCAATATATTCTGTTTGTCATTTAGAGATGACTAGCAAGTTTTACAGGTACTATTTGAATGAAGTATAATCCTGTGATCTGGAGCTTGTAAAGGTACCTGTAGTTGGTGCCATTATGTGCTTGGTTATAGATATAACCAGTGCATGTAGCTCTGCTCTCATCAATCACACATCCTAGATGTCACCATGGAGCCAGAACACAAATGCCTCTTGCTAGTACTTTGTTTTTAATAAAAGACATTTTATGTGTCCTTATTTTGACACATAAAATAAGGACACATAAAATGTCCTTATTTTAGGACATTTTTTTTACTAGTCTTTTACTCATTTATGTATAAATGAGTAAAAAGCAACATTTTCCATGTCTTGAAGACACATAGGTGCTAGTCATAAAATGAGAATATTATGAAAAAGTTTATTTCTGTCAGCAGTTCCAGTCAAAAAATGAAACTTTTAAATTCATTCATTACACAGAAACTGATTTATTTCAAAAAATTTTCTGACTCACAACTAATTAAAACCTGTTATTACGCAATAGTCAGCCCCACCGTAACCTCACAACTCCCACGGATTGACTACGGACCAGCTCTCCGTCTAACTTGTCTGGAAAATCTATAAAACCTCCAGTATAATCTGTCTAAGCTGGTGTCGAGTGAGACTCGTCTAGTTTTTAACTACCTTCATTCCCAAGTGAAGGTAGTTAAAAACTAAGAATTTTCAGTTCTTAGCTTTCTCAGTTAAGAACAGAAAAAGGTCAGTTCTTAACTGTAAAACGTACGTTACACAAACTTTCTTAACTGACCTTTTTCAGTTAAGAAGCAATCAGCTGAGTAGCCCTTGTAACTGCATGACTTCAATAACCACTCTCTCTATCAACAACGAGAACTTGTTACAGACTAGATCATTTTTAGTGGCTCAGCATAAGCCCCACAGTCATTGTTTTACCAACACTGAACAAATGTCTGAAGCCACCACATTACTAGAAATATGTACATGGGTTTTACACTGATTAGAAGAACCAAAAACAATAGATGACTCAATTAATTTTACTGTCCACAAATCTCATTAGAATTTTAATGCATCTTTATTAAGCAAGCGTTTACCAGGAGTAGATGACAGATTAATTATCACTGATTACAAATTAAGAATAAAAATCCAATTTAATAAAATAATCTTCATTCTTTCCTAACCTCTTTCCCTAAACTGTGTAACTAATTTACAAAGCGAGGCTTTGGGGTGCAGTTCAGCTCATACCCAGATGATAGATGATCCCGGCAATGGAAGGTTTTGATGTCCTTGGTTTGAGCCTTGTCTTTGTACGGCAAATCCTCTTCAGAATAGAAGCAAAGTAGAACTGGTTGTTGTCTTCCGAACACTCAGATCTTCATCACTCAGTGACCTTTGTTCATTCAGCACGTCTGTTGCAGCAGCCTTGAGATCTTTGGGTTGAGCGCAGAGCAGCAGCAGTCGAAACAGGAACCGGGGTTGAAGGTTGATGGGTCTTATCCCCTTCTAGTAGTGCGGAGTCTTCACCTTCCTTTGGTTCCGCGACTTTTTGAAAGTTCGATGGCTTCGTGGAAAGTACCAAACATTTCCACATTGGTCAACACCTTGTTCACTTCTCCTTTTTTGTTGTTTGTCCACTGACCATCTGAATTCACTTCCCTATCTGGTTCAGAGAAAACTTCCCAGTTCCTCTGCCTTCCCCCTCTGATCAGGCCCTTTACTGGCCCTGACCTCTGCTATAATTATAATACAGTCTGACAATTATATGTCACTATGCTTCACACAGTGTAAGATTACTTTAGTTACAATTCTATATCTGCTGTATGATCATGATAAATTAAACAATAATCTTTTTAATTCAATTCTTCAAACATAACTTCTTTTAGTAGTCATCTATGTTTAATTTTATTCACCATTTTATTCATCGTGTTATTCATTTCTTGATCTGCAAGAACAAAATACTGGAGCACAATAATAATAAGGTAAGATGCAGGAGCCAGAGTTTGTATTCACATTCTTATAGTCAGTTCAGTTCTTTTAAAATGACCTTGAGCAATAATCTGTGTAAACATTTCTACATTTTTTACATCAGACTCTCTATAATTATCAATAAATCAAAATACAAAATAACTTGTTTTATAATCATCAGTTAATCAAAATACAAGATTACTTATGTCTCCCAGGCCTCTATGATCTATTTTCTGCGTTAACCTGGAGACATCTCACCTCTTTAAGCCAGTTTTCACAAACAAGCCCCAAATTCAGTATCTTAAAAAATTAGATTACTTAAGACCAAAGCAAATAAAGGATTTTTTATAAATGTTAGCCCACTGTAAAAAATGAACATGAAAAGTATGAGCATGCACAGCACTCAGTACTTGGGGCTCCTTTTGCCTTGATTACTGCAGGGTGACATGGAGTCCATCAATCTGTGACACTATTACAGATCTGTTATGAGAGCCTAGTTTGTTCTGATAGTCCCCTTCAGCTCTTCTGAATTGTTGGGCCTGGTGTATCACATCTTCCTCTTCACGATAGCTCATAGTTTTTCTATGGCGTTAAGGTCAGGAGAGTTTTCTGACCATTTAAGAACAGGGATACCAAGGTCCCTAAACCAGGTACTGGAGCTATGGCTCTTTGAGCAGGTGCTAAGTCCTGTTGGGAATTGCATCTTCATAAACTGGACTGAGACCATTTAAAAGCATTTGCAAGTGTTTCGATTTAATTATTTGATTAGTGTGTGGCACCAGGGATCTTCAATATTGAACCTTTTCATAATATTCCAGTTTTCTGATATTCTGAATTTGGAGTTTTCATTTGTTGTCAGTAGTAATCATCGATACTAAAAGAAATAAACATTTTAAACATACAAGTCTGTATGTATTGAATATACAGATTTAAATTTTGAATGTAATTACTGAATTAAATAAACTTTTTATATCCTTTATATTCTAATTTTATGACCACCACCTGTATTCTGATTTTGCTCTCAGGGAGAAATAATTCATCATGAAATGCTGCACATTTTCCTCTCTGCAGCCTGTTTCACCTTTTCCTGTATCCACTCATTTATTTCCTCCTGATGCGTCTCCTTCAGCTCAGTTATTCTGTTTTTGATATAAGTCTCACCGTGGAAACAAAGCGATAATTTCAACTTGTTTATTTCTTCTTCATGTTTTTTCTGCAGCATGTCGAAACTGTTCTGGTATTCTTTGTTTCTAATCAGCTGCCTTATCATTTGTTCGTTTTTTTTCTGTTCCCTCTGCTTGAAGTCTTTTATTTCTTTCCCAGTTTTTTCCATGTCAGCCGTGACATCACAAGTATATTTGTTCCTGAAATCATTGCTTTGTTCTGCTTGTTTTCTAGCATCCTCAAAATTTTTCCTCTCTAATTCCTCAACTTGCTGGCGAAGCGTTTCTGTTGCTTCTCTCCATTCGGTTTCCTCTTGTTCCCTCCGGATTTGCTGTTCTTCTTTCCATTTTGTTTCATATCTTCGCTTTTCCTCTTCGTATTCTTCTCTTAGCTTTTGGAGTCGTTTCCTCTCATCTTCTTGTCTCTCTGTTTCCTCACGATGTCTGTTCTCCCACCATTCCCTTCTTTCTTGTTCCCAAGCTTCTCTTTCTTTTCTCATGTCTTCTCTGCTTTGTGCTAATAAAGCCCTTTCTGCAAAAACTTTGCTGGATCGCTGTTTCATCTGCAGGTCTTCATATTGTCGTTCAAACTCATGTTCTTGCATCTCATCTTCCCTTTTCTTCTCCTTTTCTTCTTCATTTCTAATTCTCTTTTCCATCTTCACCTTCTCTTCCTCCCTCATAAATTTTTCCCTCATCTCCTTGACTCTTTGGGTGCCTGGTACTTTTTCTTTTTCAGACTTAGCCAATTTTTTTATTTGTATAGTTTTCTTATTTGAATTTTGTCTTCAAGTTGTTTTTTAAAGTCTTCCTTCTTCTTCTGCAGCTCTGTGTCCTTTTCTGTCAGTATCTTCTGGGTTTCCTTCTGTATGGCCTCCTCTGCCTCTTTGAAGAGCTCTGAGCTGTAGTAGCTTCCTCCATTTTCCCTCAGCATTGCCTCCACTTTGTCTAGGAGCTCTGTAGCTTGACGTCGATTCTCTTGGTCATTGTTGTTAAAGACTTGATATCTCTCCCCACAATCAGTGATCAGCCTTTTGACAAATTCCTTGCTTTCGGTTAAGTAACTGTTAAATGTCTGATCTTTGAGTTCGTCTCCTCTGGTGAATACAACGATGATGAAGTTCACTGACTTCTCTCCAAAGAAATCCTTGAGCAGCTCCACAGTTTCTTTTTCCTCCTGCGTAAAGCGTCCGATCTGCAGGACGAGTAAGAAGACGTGAGGTCCGGGCGCCGACAAGCTGATGCATTTGATGAGCTCTTGTTTAATCTGGTCATTAGACTGAGATGTATCAAACAGTCCTGGTGTGTCCACCACGGCAATAGGACGACCATTGACCTCTCCTGTCTCTTTCTGACAAACGTTTGTCACTGATACTTGAGAAACCTTTGAGAAAAAGCATTTCCTGCCCAGGATGGTGTTTCCAGTGGCACTTTTACCGCAACCAGTCTTCCCAATTAACACCATACGGAGAGGCTCTTTACTCTGCGGCGCGGATAGATTTTGGTTTATGGTTATGTTCTGCATCATCCCTGATCCAGAGCCATTTTTTGAACTCTGCACATTCTCCACCTTTTGTGGATTCTTTCTGTGCTCATTGATACTGTGGCCTGAATTAAACAATTCCCACATTTGAGGCTTTGTAGTCTGTCTTACAGGACGCTTGGAGAACATCTTTTCAGTAAAGCTTCTTGTTGCTGCGTTTGTCATCGTTTGGACACATAGAAGCACCTCAGAGATCTGTTTGTTGTTATAGAAGACATATATCGTTCCCTACATTTCTGACAGAGATCTTGAATGTCTCTATTTTCCCTCAGAAACCTCAGCGCTGCAGAAGGTGTGCCAGTTGCCTCCATAGTAAAAAGAATCATGGTGAAATCATTGATTCCTAGACTGAAGATTTCCTGGATGGTTTCCAGCTCCTTCTTATCTTCCTCGGTATAACCGTCCAATGGGAGGACCAGAATGAAGGCGTGGACGCCTTCAGGATCACAAAGAGAAACACATTTGAAGCATTCGTTCACCGCTGCTGCCTTTGGTCTTCCATGCAGAGCCGGTAGCTCCACTATGGACACCCGATGCCCACAGACGGTTCCCTGATTTCTAATAACCTCTGAATCACCAGAATAATTTTCTCCCAGGATGGCGCGAGCTACTGACACTTTCTTGAACACGTGTCTCCCACACAAGACCAGGTTCAGGGGGGTTTCACACACTGAGGACGATCCATAGGAGCCATGTCTCCAGAAAAGGTTAGATGTTGCCCTTTGTTCTCTCTCACCAGATTCTCCATTTTGTTCATCAGTTCTTCAAGATTATTGGCTGAATAGTTACTTTCATCGAGGTCCACTTTGTGGATCCTTTGGCCACATTCCCTGACAAGTTGGTTCATGGGAAACGTCCATTGCTCATCAGTTTCAGTTGTGATGACTATTGCATAATTAAAGGCTTCTTTCCCCCAAAAACTCAGGACACAGTTCATATTCTGTCGGTTCGACTTGGTGAAGTCTGACGGCTTCACCAGGAGCAGCAGGACGTTTGGTCCAGGTGGGCAGAGAGTCGCACACGTCTTCATGTCCTGACCGACTCTTTCCACAGGCAGACTGAGGACGTCTCCTGTTGTTATCAGGGTGAAAGGTTTGCCCATCCATTCTGCATAGACAACATCAAAGGACTTGACTTTCTTTGAAGAATGAGGACTTTTTTCTGTCAGGAATTTGCTGAGTTTTGTTTTGTCATTGTTTTTTCCAAGCAGCACAATCCTCAGACCAGTAACTGAAAACAAAAATGAAAAGATTGAATTAGAACTTTTTAATTCTGATTATCTAATATTTTTATTGTGACATGTTTAATTTTGTCATGCAAAAATTGAATTACTTAAAACTGGAAATTCCACTTTTCTTTTATTGGTTTTCAGAACTTTATATACAGTTGGGCAAAAAAGTATTTAGTCAGCCACCAATTGTGCAAGTTCTCCCACTTAAAAAGATGAGAGAGCCCTGTAATTGTCATCATAGATAAACCTCAACTATGAGAGACAAACGGAGAAAAAAATGTCAGAAAATCACATTGTCTGATTTTTAAAGAATTTATTTACAAAATATGGTGGAAAATAAGTATTTGGTCAGCTACAAAAAAAGCACAATTTCTGGCTCTCACAGACCTGTAACTTCTTCTGGAAGAGGCTCTTCTGTCGTCCACTCATTACCTGTATTAATGCCACCTGTTTGAACTCGTTATCAGTATAAAAGACACCTATCCACAACCTCAGTCACATTCTAACCTCCACCATGGCCAAAACTAGAGAGCTGTCAAAGGACACCCGAAACAAAATTGTAGACCTGCACCAGGCTGGGAAGACTGAGTCTGCAATAGGTAAACAGCTTGGTGTGAAGAAATCAACTGTGGGATCAATTATTAGAAAATGGAAAACAAACAAGACCACTGATAATCTCCCTCGATCTGGGGCCCCACGCAAGATCTCATCTCGTGGGTCAACATGATCACAAGAACAAACGGTGAGCAAAAATCCCAGAACCACACGGGAGAACCTAGTGAATGACCTACAGAGACCTGGGACCAAAGTAACAAAGGTAAAAGTAACACACTACGCCGCCAAGGACTCAAATCCTGCAGTGCCAGACGTGACCCCCTGCTTAAGCCAGTACATGTCAAGGCCCGTCTCAAGTTCACTAGAGAGCATTTGGATGATCCAGAAGATGACTGGGAGAATATCATATGGTCGGATGAAACCAAAATAGAACTTTTTGGTAAAAACTCTACTCGTCATGTTTGGAGGAGAAAGAATGCCGCGTTCCATCCAAAGAACACCATACCCACTGTGAAGCATGGGGGTGGACACATCATGCTTTGGGGCTGTTTTTTTGCTAAGGGACCAGGACGACTGATCCGTGTAAAGTAAAGAACGAATGGGGCCATGTATCGTCACATTTTGAGAGAAAGCCTCCTTCCATCAGTAAGGGCATTGAAGATGAAACGTGGCTGCGTCTTTCAGCATGACAATGATCACAAACACACCGCCCGGGTAACAAAGGAGTGGCTTCGCCAGAAACATTTCAAGGTCCTGGAGTCTCCTAGCCAGTCTCCAGATCTCAACCCCATAGAAAATCTTTGGAGGGAGTTGAAAGTCCGAGTTGCCCAGCGACAGCCCCAGAACATCACTGCTGTAGAGGAGATCTGCATGGAGGAATGGGCCAAAATATCAGCAACAGAGTGTGAAAATCTTGTGAAGACTTACAGGAAATGTTTGATCTCTGTCATTGCCAACAAAGGATATATAACAAAGTACTGAGATGAACTTTTGTCATTGACCAAATACTTATTTTCCACCATATTTTGCAAATAAATTCTTTAAAAATCAGACAATGTGATTTTCTGATTTTTTTTTTCTCCGTTTGTCTCTCATAGTTGAGGTTTATCTATGATGACAATTACAGGGCTCTCTCATCTTTTTAAGTGGGAGAACTTGCACAATTGGTGGCTGACTAAATACTTTTTATGCCCAACTGTAAACATCAACAAAAGCCAACAAAAACAGCCCACCCCAAATCAACAAGAAGCACTTCGGTGTATATGTAAACATAGATGCAAAATATAGACATTCCTAGGTATGGTTTAAAGGGCAGCAGACATACACATAGTATGTAAAAAAATAAGAAAAAGAAAAAAAATGTGAGAAAGATTGCAAGGGGTTCCAGATCCTCCAAAATGTTTCTGATGTTTGATTAAGATCGTGAGTCTGGGATAATAACAGAGATTTGTGATCCACATCTCAACTGTAGGGGCCTGTGGTGCTGACCATCTCAGGAGCATACATTTCTTGACCAGAAATAAGAAGATTATAAAGCAAAGATTTAGTATCTTTATTAAGTAGAGTCTGGAGCATAATTAAAAAGACAGAAGGAGGGGGATCAGAAGAACTGTTTGCCAATGATCTCTTATGTCATCATATGAACCAACTTTGTTTGAATGCGAACAGGTGTATCATTAGTTCGGTAGAAGAATTTGTAGTTCTGCTCATGTATAGAAATCGAGGTGCAATTGGGGAAGACCCCATTACAGAGCTCTCCCCAATCTATTGGATTGAATATCAGCCCTAGGTCATGTTCCCACACCAGTTTCATAGCATCATAACTTGAGGAGTCAGAGCGAGATAATAAACTATATATCTTAGAGATAAGTTGTTTAGGTGATTTGGCCATGACAATTATATTTTCTTACTCTCACAATTTTGTACATAATTTTCAATCAATCAATCAATCAGATTTTATTTGTATAGCACATTTCAGCTACAAGGCATTTCAAAGTGCTTAACATCATAAACACAAAACACAAAGGCATGCAACATAGAATAAAATACCAAGTTTTTTTTTCCCCCTCTTTTTTCCCTTTCTTCCCCCTTCCCTTTGACACGGAATTTAAGCGCCTGTTACCGCCGGACTCCGCCGTCCGTTTAACCACGGGTATTCGCCGGGCCCCGTTGCCCACAAGGAAAAAATAAATAAATAAAATAAAAAAATAAATAAATAAAAAATAAAAAATTACATACATATCCACAAAATCAAATCCATACATATTACATTTCAAATGCAACTCTAAACAGGTGCGTTTTTACTTGAGATTTGAAGGAAGTCAGGGTTTCCGCTGTTTTACAGTTTTCTGGAAGTTTGTTCCAAATTTTTGGTCCATAGATGCTGAAAGCTGCTTCTCCTCTCTTGGTTCTGGTTCTGGGGATGCAGAGCAGAACCAGAACCAGAACCTGAGAGTCTGGAAGGTTGATACAACAACAGCAGATCTTTAATGTATTGTGGTGCTAAACCATTCAGTGATTTATAAACTAACAACAGTATTTTAAAATCTATTCTTTGAGCTACAGGGAGCCAGTGGAGGGACTTTAAAACTGCTGTTATGTCTCTATCTTCCTGGTTCTAGTGAGAACAGGAGCAGCAGCTTCTGGATCAATTGCAGCTGTTTGATTTGTTGGACAGGCCTGTGAAGATGCTGTTGCAATAATCAATGCGACTAAAGATAAACACATGGATGAGTTTCTCTAGATCTGGCTGAGACATTAGTCCTCTAATCCTGGAGATGTTCTTCAGGTGATAGAAGGCCGATTTTGTTACTGTCTTTATGTGGCTCTGGAGGTTCAAGTCCGAGTCCATTACTACTCCCAGGTTTCGGGCCTGATCACTAGTTTTTAGTTGTAATAACTGAAGCTGTGCATTGACTCTAGATCTATAACTCTAGATCTATAACTCTAGATCGTTCCTCTTTAGGTCCAAAAATAATGACTTCAGTTTTGTTTTTGTTCAGTTGGAGAAAGTTTTGGCACATCCACACATTTATCTGCTCTAAGCATTTATTCAGTGATTGGATGGGGTCAAAGGTCACCTGGTGACATCGTAATGTAGAGCTGAGTGTCATCCGCATAGTTGTGGTAGCTAATATTATTTCCTGTTATGACCTGAGCTAGTGGGAGAATATAAATATTAAATAAGAGGGGTCCTAGGATTGAACCTTGGGGTACCCCACATGTGACCTTTGACCTCTTTGATGAGAAGTTTCCAATTGAAACAAAGAAATCCCTGTTCTTTATGTAGGATTCAAACCAGTCGAGCACCGAACCAGAGAGTCCAACCCAACTTTCAAGTCCATTCAGTAATATGTCAAAAGCTGCACTGAGGTCCAACAGAACCAGAACCAGAACCAGCACTGTGGTTCTCCCACAGTCCATATTTATATGGATATCATTGAATACTTTGACTAGGCCAGTCTCCGTGCTGTGGTCATCATGAGGAAACTATTTAATTGTTTACACAAAGTTTTTTCAATAACTTTGTTGATGAATGGGAGGTCAGAGGTCAGAGGTCGGCCTGTAATTCTGCATTAGTGATTTGTCCAGGTTGTTCTTTTTTAGCAGTGGTTTGATGACTGCTGTTTTCAAAGCCTGGGGGAAAACACCTGATGTAAGCGATGAGTTTACGATTTGGATCAGATCTGTAGCAATAACAGGCAGGACTTTCTTAAAGAAATGTTCTAGAGTTATAGATCTATAACATCCAGACAGCAGGAGCTTGAACTTAATTGACTTATAATTTCTTTTAGAGTTTTATAATTAAGTAGTTGAAAGTTGGTCATTTTTTCTGTATTTGTTTTGTTTTGGTACAGCAATGGTTCTGGCTTTAGAGTCAATGTGCAGATTAATCCTCTGATTTTTTGGATTTTCTCTGAAAAGAAATCAGAAAACTTATTACAGGCAGCATTAGATTGGAATTCAGGTGGAAACGTCACAGGAGGGTTTGTGAGCCTGTCAACTGTTGCAAATAAAGTTCGAGCATTATTGATGTTTTTGTTTATGACATCTGCAAAGAAAGCCTCCCTTGCATGTTTTAGTGTTAAGTGACAGTTACGTAGTTTTTCTTTGTAGATGTCGTGATGAACGTGAAGTTGAGTTTTACGCCATTTTGGTTCTGCCCTGCGACAGAGTTGTCTTGCAGACCGAACTATTTGTGCATTTCTCCATGGAGATTTCTTCATACCAGTCAAAACCTTTACTTTAATTGGGGCAATGGAATCAATGATATATGAAACTTTAGACTGAAAATCACCTACCAACTGATCTACATC